ATTTTCAGTCAAGTTATGGATGAATTTGGGTTTCTATTTCTTAATTTACGGCTCGGTTTAGGTAAGTAGCGATTTTTCGAGTCCCGTGTATTTTATCTATGAAATTTAGGTTTAGATGGCAGTTTCTACACGATAAGGATCTAATAAGCCTAAAAGGAGCGGGGCAATCGAAGATTTTAAAAAGTTTAAAAATTGTATGAAAACACGATTATAAGAAAACGAATTATGTAAAAATTAGTTATTTTACGATAAAAATTTATTACCAAACTATTGTAAAATACAGAGGGCTATTAATAACACTATATAGAAAGAACATTTAAACAGAAAAAACCAATTTTCAGTCAAGTTGTGGATGAATTTGGGTTTTTATATCTGAATTTACGGCTCGGTTTAGGCAAGAAGCGATTTTTCGATATCTATCACATTTGTATGTCGATGGTGGTTTCTACACTAAACGAATCGTATAAGCCTGAAAGGAGCTGAGAAATCGATTATAAGAAAATGAATTATATGAAAATTAGTTATTTAGTGGTAAAAATTTAGTACGAAAACTATTGTACAATAAGTTTGCAATTAATATCACCTTATAACAAGAAAACTTAAACAGAATAGACCAATTTTCAGTCAAGTTATGGATGAATTTGGGTTTTTAATACTGAATTAGGGCTCGGTTTAAGCAAGTAGCGATTTTTCGAGTTCCGTAAGTTTTATCCATCAAATTTAAGACTAGATCGCAATTTCTTCACGATTCAGTTCTTATAAGCCTAAAAAGAGCGGAGAAATCGAAGATTTTAAAAAAGTTTAAAAATTATATGAAAATACGGTTATAAGAAAACGAATTATATGAAAATTGCTTATTTAACGGTAAAAATTTATCCCACCAAAAACATTCTGTAAAAAACTAGCCAAGTCTCGATGGAGCTGCTTGTTTATATCTAAAAAGTAAAGAAATCTAGACAAAGTCGTGCCAAGTCTAAGGTTCCTTACTGCGATTGATGTTGCACGTAATTGTGTTTACACGTAATGTTATATCTGTTGTAACTACCCATGTTAAGCTAGTTAATAGCCCATACTGGTATTGGTAATTGGACGCTAGTGTCTCATTTTAGGCGGTTGTTGATTGTGCAACACATGCATTCGGCATTGACAATGCTGACTTCTGCTCTCTTCTTTTTGGAGCGTCAAATCGACCACCGATCTAACATAAAATAGACGTACAGACGGACTTCTATCAATGATTGGAAGTCCGCCTGTACTGGAAATAATTTTTTATACTGTTTGTTTCAGGCTCGCCTATACAAAAGTATTATTGAAATACGCAGCTTTATCAAGCCTACAATTGACTGGTTATTCAATCAACGTTTTCCAAGTGGCAAATTTCCATCGTCAATGGGTAGCGGTTCTGGCGACAGATTGGTGCAAGGGTGTCATGTAGCACCTGGTCTTGTACCCTTGTGTACCCTTCAACGGCCAAGTCACACAACATTAACAATAACAATAAAGAAATCGCAGTAAGGAACCTTAGACTTGGCACGACTTTGTCTAGATTTCTTTACTTTTTAGAGATAAACAAGCAGCTCCATCGAGACTTGGCTAATTTTTTACAGAATGTTTTTGGTGGGATTTCACTTCTTTTTTGTAGAAAGCGGGCACATTGATTTATTTTATTAGATTTTCTTATTCGACACATTTTTTTTCTTTTTTAGGAGTAGTTTTTTTATTATTACAAATCTTTCTTTTCTTTTCCGGTTCTGATTCTTGTACAGTAGCAACAGTTCTTCGTATTGCCCATTCGCGTTCATTATTTATTCTTTTAGACGGTTTAGACGGTTTAAAATCTGAAAAATCGGTGCGGTATTTACGCCTAAGCCGGTTGTATTCGGTGATCGCTGAAGCTTGAGCTTTTATACTCTTGAAGTCAACATTTATGAGGTGCATCCCATGAAGATTGGTTACTCGTGAAAGCTCCACGTAGGCTTGGCCACAAGTGAATATGGAGGCGCCAATGTCCATGAGGGCATTTTTTAGACTTAGACCTTGGCTCTTGTGAATTGTTAGGGCATACGCCACACAGATTGGGAATTGTTCCCTGTACACGTATGCCCGGGGTATGATCTCAAATTTTGACTTAATAGGCAATAATTCGTGAATCAAATTATTAGCGAATTTTACTACCAATAGTTTAGGCTTTCTGCCGGGTCCCACCTCACTTTTTGTACAACGCCTAATGACCCATTCACTAAACCTAAACTAACATCAATATTTCTCCTAAGCATTACTTTAGCTCCCTCTTTAATGATTATAGTTTCTTCCAGTCCAGCAGTCATCGACGCATCATCTTCATATTTTTGTAAACACGCTCGGGCTTTCATTATCATACATTTTGAACAATCCAAGGAATCCCTAGCAACTAATTTTATCTCGGGGTGCGGAATCGCTTTTAACATAGCATTATTTAACTGCATACACATATTTCTAGTCGGTAGTAAACAAACAGTATCTTCTGGTAAGTCCCTCAAACATTGTGCTATTTCCATTAACCTTCCTTCATTGGAATGTGAGAGCAGAGGTATCAATCGGTTAGACAGTATATCTCTGTCTGATTTAGTTGTCACTCCTACTCTGATTCTTTTTAACATTTCTACAAACGTAGAATCATCCAGCTGTCTCATATTCAACGTAAGTTCGTCGTAACTAAAAAGTTCAGTCCATAAGTTTGAAATACTTAAGGAGCCTATAAGTTTATTAATATCTGAAGGGGTTAGTTTTTCAAATGGCGACTTTTCTCTAACGGGTGGAAGTTGCAAAAGATCCCCAAGCACTAAAATATGTTTTTTTTCCAAACCAACCATATTCTACATCAGAAGTATCAAACACTTCGCATAAAAGAAGATTTATGTAGGCTAAAGTTACATTAGATATCATAGACACTTCACCTATAATAAATAATTCGACAGTTTTTAAGTCTGTCCTTAAAACTTGAAGTACTTCGTCTGAAAGCGGTTTGTATTTAGGAGTTTGTTTATGCTCTACGGGTAGTTGTAGTAATCTGTGAACAGTTAATTCGTTTACGTTAAATGCTGCAATTCCAGTCGGGGCAGTAATAGCAACATTTTTATGCAGGTTGTTTTTAATCCATATTTTTATGGTTTTAGGGGCCTCTGTCGTCGCGCCCGCCATAACAAAAAATAGCTTTGTCACCTCAGCTGGCGGCACTTGTTATAAACATTTATGTTTCTCACTTATGTTTAAAGAGGTTTTTGTTACAGTTATTTAAAGCTGATAAGATTTTCGATAAGTAGAAACAATAACCATAACATTTAATTGTTTATTTTATTTTGTACAGCTCTTTGTTTCTAACGGATCTTGATAAAGTGTACTTACTGACAACAAATTTTATTTTATGAATGAAATATCATAAGTTTTTATTTTATTTTTACGTCCTTACAATCAATACAACATATTCTTCCTAAATGAAATTATGCATGTAATAATTATAATAATTCTACTTTTTCACTTACAAACATTTGCTAAAAATTCGACTATAGACAGTTTGCGCGCGCTTTATAACCTCATTTTCAAAACCTTTTTGTGTATATATTATAGTGTCTTCCTTTGTTTTTCTCATACAATCATATAGATATAACATTTAGCAATTCCTAGTAAAAGTATTTACTATGGTATTCGAATAAGAAATATACTATTATTATCTTATTAGAAATTTTGACCGTTATGAATTGTTCGCGTAGAGGTTTTTTGATTCTACTTTTTTATCAATTGAAGCATAAAAAGTTACTGTTGTTGTAACTTAGATCATTAAAAAACATTACGTAGAAAAGATAAATAACATTACTTAGAGTTTTTTTGAAAGAAAATTCAACTAAAATCACAATCACAAAACTTCAACGATTACGCAACTAACAGCACCAACAGCACAAAAGCGAATGGCTGTAATATTTGATTTTTCTATGTAACCGAGTGAATATAATTCTTTAGAATACTCTTTAGTTCGTTCAGAATCGAATGAAATAGTGTTCAATTAAAATATACTGTATTTTTATAACAATTAATGACGAAAATAGCAGCACGTAATGCGGACATGAATTCATGTCCGCGGTACACAACGATCACAAAACGTGGACATGAATTCATGTCCACGGTACCTTAAAGACTCTTGCCGGTGCCACCGGTGCCACTAACAAAATGTCGAAATATTTCTTTTTGGTTCCTAATTTTATTAGTGACTGTATCAAATACTTTTTTTTGGTCAGAATTCAGTTTATCTATCATTGCTTGCTCATTCATTTCAGAAATATCCTCTTCAACTAAATCAAAGTTGTTTAAATCTTCCATAGCATTTACTGCTACCAAAGCTGCAAACTCTAAAGGATTGTCGGGTCCCTCATCCACTAGGTTTTCCCTTTCTTCGTTTAGTTCTGCTACTTTTTCTTCTACCTTTTCAAAAGCTGTTTGTAAAATATTTCGTAATTCAGTCCGTAAATTTCCGTAGCGTAACGCTTCTTGTAAATCGTCCTTTACAGCATTGGATGTTTCTGTGTATGTCTCATGTTGCATTTTTAGGTCATCTAGTATTCTCCAAGGTTTAAATAATAACAACAAGGAAAAGAAATATTTTGCTGGCATTTGCTCTACAACAGACAGGTAATGGTTAATTAGGTATGGTCTATCTCGTTTTTTTAAGTATTTTTTATTTGCTAAAACATAATACTCTACTTTATTTGAAACAGGCCGTGTGTTAACTAAATCATAGTCTTTCGAAAAGTCAAATAGATTCATGTCTTGTAATTCGTCAGGTCTGGCATGGTAAACGTTGTCTATCCAAGAATCGTAATATATGTCAGTGGAATTCGGGTCCAGTGCAGTCATTTCATATTTCGATTTAACCCTGTGATTACGATGAATATTTACGTCTAACCATCTTATTGTTGTTTGTGGGTCCGTGCCGTAAAGTGGTATTCCTAATAATGTATCGCTGGCTTCTAAAGCTCCCTTTTAAGACTTTTTGTAGAGTTAATATCGTTAAACATGTGCGTTATATGGGTCTTTTCACTTTTAGTAGTATACTTGGTCACATAATAGTTCAAAATGCCTGTTTTCTCTCCAACATATTGAATGTCAATATTTCCATTCCACGCCAACAACAAAGCGGGATTGTAGTCATTAATCATATCTGACTCTTTTGAGCGGACAATATTGTAGAGACGATTATTAGAGCTGAGAGTTTTTCTTGCCGCTATAGTTTGAAAAATGTCTCTTATGATAAGAGAATCCGTCACAGTTCGAGGAAATCCAAAACGGCAAACTGAAACGAATCCTTTTTTCGTTTTCTTTCTCCTCATGCAATAACTGTTATGTTTATGCATTTGATACGAAGTGACCCGTTGATGTAAAGTAGGAGAAATATCTTTTTTTGGAATGGCACATGTCACGTATTTAGAAATAAATGACGCTACCTCGTCTATAGATGACTTATGCAAAATAGGTGCATCCTTAACCCATAACATTAAATGGAAGTGCTGAGCACCCCTAGATTGGTGCTCTCGACGCCAAAAGTAATGAATAATCTTACCTAAAGGCTCATCTGAACTAGTTATTAAGTCTAACATTGCATGAAACTTGTTATCTATAAAACGTGAGGTAGATACGGGGTCAAGAGCAACCAATTCACTGATTGTTTTATTAGTCATTTCAACGCCATTTACTTGCCTGATGTACTCTCTCAAATCCTCCCACATCCACTCAGAGGGACTCATGGTCAAAAACCAAGTTGCTGGACCGTAATTTTGAGTCATACAATTTACATCGTTTCTTGGTTTCTTCCAGAATTCGGTGTTTCTCAGTCAGCCAAATATTGCGGTCAAATCACCTTCCAGCTCATCATTTTTAAGCATTTGGAGATACTGTTCTGCCGTAATTTTATCTCTCTGATTAGCACAATTAATTTTATAAAAGATTCCGGAGTCTAATTGGTGCATATTAGTATCATTCAATAAGAAAAATAGATACTGTTGGTTAAGTCTAAATTGAGGATGTTTTGACATAAGCCGGGCTTTAATAAATTCACTAGAAGTTACTTTCTGCTGCCGATTATGAAATTGGCCGTATTTTCCTTCTACATATAAATGTTGAAAACAATTAACATCGAGGTCTTTATCTCGAGCATCAATCGGTGCTGTGTTTACTTTGAGCATTTGGTATTATTTGGTGAAGCTGGTGCATTTTGTCTTCGTTCATTCAAAAGATATATGGTGTAATGCTCATAATCAGTTTCCTTTTCTCTTGTGATTTGGGTCAACAGTGCTGCTGTACCATCTTCTAAAATGCCTTATTCAGCATTATCTGGTGTATTTGTAACATTATGTTGAATATTTTCATGTATGTTTATGAGCTGATTAGGTAAATCTGTTAATTTGATATAAGCATAATGTTCGTTTACATTTTTAAGTATTGTAATGCTTTGTACACTTTATTAACATCAATAATGTCTTGCCATATAATATTTGCTTTGTTTGGCGTACTTCGGACTATAATATAAAGTTCTGGGTTTTCAATTGTTGCGTCTTCAGGTTTTGGGAGTTTTTTTAGGATTTCCTCCATCGGAAGTGGTAAATGAAAAGTCCTGCTCTTTACTTTTTTAACCATCTGACGATTGGGTAGAAGCTTATTAGCCACAGGATTCATTGTGACAACCACCTGAAACGCTTTAGCGCGTTGGATTAAAATGTTTTCATAGTCGTTCAGCTAAGCCATTTCTGGTGGAACAGTGTTTACATGCATGTCATTAAGGATACAGACAGCAGGCATATGGTTAGCACGAATCTTAGCAAGGCTGTGTGTTAAAAGTCAGACACCACCTTGATATGGGCTTCTTAATCGTTCTATGGAACTAATATCCCTAGAATAACATAGTTATTGCACGACATACAATCCAGTTTCGGTGTGTCTACACTTTTTTTGGAAAATAATTTAAAAGCAACCTTATTTCTTTTTATTATTCATCTTCCACGATTTCACTATCAGGTGTACGCCCTACAACGGCACTTCCTACCGTCGGTTGCTTTCCTAGCTCCAGAAGCTTATCCACATTACCACTTGCCAAAGAATCGACAATATCAAGCAATAACTTACAGTCGCTGTGTATTTGATAAATCTCTCTGATAATAGTCCGAAGATGTGGGAAATGCAATTTAACGTTATTAATAAAGTTGATATTTTCTTGCAGTTTTCCTGTTTCTGCAGACATCGAGTAAATTTGCGGAGTAGTTTGGAGGCTCAATATTTCGAAAATGTTTTTCAATTTTAGTAAGATTCCATCATTTAATACGCGCAATGAATCCAAACAAGACCATGTCAGAATTTTTGACATTTCGTTAACATTTGTAAAGGTTTTTGCTTTGCCAGTATCGTCAATCTCAATAGGTTTTTCTTTATCTTCATAAACCTTATAAGATTGTTCAGAATAAAATGGCTCCTGATTACTACGATGTTCGGGTTTACCAAAAAATGCTTCAAATTTGTCTTTAATATCCGTGCTTTCAGGACATATTTTCAACTTCTCTAATGCCGCTACTATTTTTTTTTATTTATTTGCAGTCTTGTTCAAATCTTCTAAAGTTCTTTGCCTATTATGGAGAGTCCACTTAATTATTTTTTCTGATTCTAATCTATCTTTAAGTTTAGTTATAAGAACTCTAGTGATTATTTCTATGTTTCCCTTAAACTTTAGTTTGTCAGCAGATCTCTTTCGCGCTAAGTTTTGTCAATTTACTTCCGGATGTGAAGCACGGAATAGAAATAGAAATAGAAACTTTTTTATTCTATGTAGATTATAAAAATACTAATTGAAAGTCACTTTTTTAATTTACCACTGGTTCGAAAAAAAACCTCTGTCCTGGGAAGAACCAGCAAGAAACCCAGCGGGACTATTTTTTTTAATAATAGCTTACAATCATGTTTACAATCAACAACACAAGACAAATTAGAAATAGATTGGTAGCGATCACCCTTCCCAGGGGTTATTATCATCTATAAATTCCTTAATATTATAATAAACCTTTTTATACAAACTTAGTTTAATAACATTATTGAACTTTGTGTATGACAAATTTTGTATATTTTCTGGGATTTTGTTGTAATAGCGTATACATCGGCCCAAGAATGAATTACTGACTCGGTGCAGTCGAGTAACTGGTACTACCAGCTTGTGTCTGCTCCTAGTATTTACAGAATGAATATCACTTATATTCGCAAAACTACTTTTATTTTTGTGTACGTACATTACATTTTCATAAATGTATTGAGAGGCCACAGTTAAGGACGCGTTTACAAATCAACCAAAATTAGAGTGTTTTTTCGGGAGATTTTGTGACAAAACTAAACCAAATCAAATAGAAGTAAAAACTACCATGTATAGATTGGTTCTTCATCTGCAAACGTCTGTAACTCTTTTGTTGAAAATAGTAGTTTTTTATATTGTAAAAACGAACTTTCGTTGCCATTTTCTACAAAATTAACGATACCGGCTTGTGTTTCGGTACATGTTTTGGTCTATTATCAACATATTTAAAAAATTTAAAAAATACTATAAGATAACAGACATATTCAATTAAAAAACCCTGTGTTTATTTTTATCAAAATGTCACAAATAGTTGTAGAAAAAATAAAAACTGATGCACATTTTTTCACATATTTTGCTAATACGGATAAATCATAATCTATTGCAATAAGGGCTATTTTATTGTTGGTGCCTGCTTTGATTTATTGTACAAAGATTTCGATGAAACCACAGTCCGCGCTTGGCCGCCGTCGTGAGTGGACATTGTATCGCCTGTTTGCAGCGGCTCATTCTGAAAAGATCGCTGTACATACACAAAATATTAGAAAAAAACAAATTGGAAACATAAGTACTTGACAAGTGATAAAATTATTATTTTTATACTCACAGTTTTTTATTTAGCTAAAAATAAGTAGGATATGTAAACTTACCTACTACTGCAACTCCTGGACGAGCGGAACTAGGTGTGCCGAGTTTGAGCTCGTTTTGTTGGTTATGATGAGACCTTACCTCCGGACTTGATGGCGTGACCTGAAGGTGTACTTTCGTGACCGCTATTTGAACTTCTTGCAGAGTATTACTATGGGGGGCGAATTTGGGCTTCGTTTTGTTAGTTATGACGAGTCCATACTTCCGGACTTGATGGAGTGACCTGAAGGTGTAAATCGGTGATTGCAACTGGAACTCCTAGACTGGTAGAACTAGGTGTGCCGAGTTTGGGTTTGTTTTGTAGGTTATGATGAGACTTTACCACCGGACTTGATGGAGTGACCTGAAGGTGTAGTTCGGTGATTACAAGTGGAACTCCTAGACTTGTAGGACTAGGAGTGCCGAGTTTGGGTTCGTTTTGTTAGTTATGATGAGACCTTACCACCAGACTTGATGGAGTGACCTGAAGGGGTAATTCAGTAACTAGTGCTGGAATTTCTGAACGAGTATCACTAGGTGTGCCGAATTTGGGCTTCGTTTTGTTAGTTATGACGAGTCCATACCTCCGGACTTGATGGAATGACCTGAAGGTGTAAATCGGTGATTGCAACTGGAACTCCTAGACTGGTAGAACAAGGTGTGCCGAGTTTGGGTTCGTTTTGTAGGTTATGATGAGACCTTACCACCGGACTTGATGGAGTGACCTGAAGGTGTAGTTCGGTGATTACAAGTGGAACTTCTAGACTTGTAGGACTAGGTGTGGCGAGTTTGGGTTCGTTTTGTTAGTTATGATGAGACCTTACCACCAGACTTGATGGAGTGACCTGAAGGGGTAATTCAGTAACTACTGCTGGAATTTCTGAACGATTAGAACTAGGTGTGCCGAATTTGGGCTTCGTTTTGTTAGTTATGACGAGTCCATACCTCCGGACTTGATGGAGTGACCTGAAGGTGTAGTTCGGTGATTACAAGTGGAACTCCTAGACTTGTAGGACTAGGTGTGCCGAGTTTGGGTTCGTTTTGTTAGTTATGATGAGACCTTACCACCAGACTTGATGGAGTGACCTGAAGGGGTAATTCAGTAACTACTGCTGGAATTTCTGAACGAGTAGAACTAGGTGTGCCGAATTTGGGCTTCGTTTTGTTAGTTATGACGAGTCCATACCTCCGGACTTGATGGAGTGACCTGAAGGTGTAAATCGGTGATTGCAACTGGAACTCCTAGACTGGTAGAACAAGGTGTGCCGAGTTTGGGTTCGTTTTGTAGGTTATGATGAGACCTTACCACCGAACTTGATGGAGTGACCTGAAGGTGTAGTTCAGTGATTACAAGTGGAACTCCTAGACTTGTAGAGCTAGGTGTGCCGAGTTTGGGTTCGTTTTGTTAGTTACGATGAGACCTTACCACCGGAATTGATTGAGTGACCTGAAGGTGTAATCAGGTGGTTACAAATGGAAGTACTAGACTAGTAGAACTAGGTGTGACGAGTTTGGTTTCGTTTTGTTAGTTACGATAAGACCTTACCACCGGACTTGATGGAGTGAAATTCGGCACACCTAGTTCTACTGGTTCAGAAATACCAGCAGTAGTTACTGAATTACCCCTTCAGGTCACTCCATCAAGTCTGTTGGTAAGGTCTCATCATAACTAACAAAACGAACCCAAACTCGGCACACCTAGTCCTACAAGTCTAGGAGTTCCACTTGTAATCACCGAACTACACCTTCAGGTCACTCCATCAAGTCCGGTGGTGAGGTCTCATCATAACCTACAAAACGAACCCAAACTCGGCACACCTAGTTCTACCAGTCTAGGAGTTCCAGTTGCCATCACCGATTTACACCTTCAGGTCACTTCATCAAGTCCGGAGGTATGGACTCGTCATAACTAACAAAACGGAGCCCAAATTCGGCACACCTAGTTCTACTCGTTCAGAAATTCCAGCAGTAGTTACTGAATTACCTCTTCAGGTCACTCCATCAAGTCTGGTGGTAAGGTCTCATCATAACTAACAAAACGAACCCAAACTCGGCACACCTTGTTCTACCAGTCTAGGAGTTCCAGTTGCAATCACCGATTTACACCTTCAGGTCACTCCATCAAGTCCGGAGGTATGGACTCGTCATAACTAACAAAACGAAGCCCAAATTCGGCACACCTAGTTCTACTCGTTCAGAAATTCCAGCAGTAGTTACTGAATTACCCCTTCAGGTCACTCCATCAAGTCTGGTGGTAAGGTCTCATCATAACTAACAAAACGAACCCAAACTCGGCACTCCTAGTCCTACAAGTCTAGGAGTTCCACTTGTAATCACCGAACTACACCTTCAGGTCACTCCATCAAGTCCGGTGGTAAAGTCTCATCATAACCTACAAAACAAACCCAAACTCGGCACACCTAGTTCTACCAGTCTAGGAGTTCCACTTGCAATCACCGATTTACACCTTCAGGTCACTCTATCAAGTCCGGAGGTATGGACTCGTCATAACTAACAAAACGGAGCCCAAATTCGGCACACCTAGTTCTACTCGTTCAGAAATTCCAGCAGTAGTTACTGAATTACCCCTTCAGGTCACTCCATCAAGTCTGGTGGTAAGGTCTCATCATAACTAACAAAACGAACCCAAACTCGGCACTCCTAGTCCTACAAGTCTAGGAGTTCCACTTGTAATCACCGAACTACACCTTCAGGTCACTCCATCAAGTCCGGTGGTAAAGTCTCATCATAACCTACAAAACAAACCCAAACTCGGCACACCTAGTTCTACCAGTCTAGGAGTTCCAGTTGCAATCACCGATTTACACCTTCAGGTCACTCCATCAAGTCCGCAGGTAGGTAAGGTCTTATTATAACTGACAAAACCAGTTCAAAGTCTAGAGCTAACATCTCACTACCAGTAGAGGGCTTCCAGTGCCAAGCAGTCTCTGGAGCAGGTATTCGTATTTCGTATCGAAGTATATTTCTGAGGTAGGTAGGTATAAGAAATGAAAAACAAATTCAATCTTTCAAATTATCAAAATAATTTCATTTGACTACGATTCCCACGGCCAACCGTGCGTACACTAGTGTGTGTGTGACTTTTGTCAATGTAGTAGTGCGATTCTATACCTATCAATTTTGTAAACGCGTCCTTAATATATAAATTTCCTTAAATTTTTGTCTCAGTAACTCTTTTGGTTTTAAATTATATATTGCTCTAATGGCCCTCTTCTGTAAAATAAATATAATTTCAGTGTCAGTCGCGTGTCCCCATAGCAAAATACCATACGACATAATGCTATGGAAATAACTAAAGTAAACTATTCTAGCTGTTTCAACACTGGTAAGAGTTCTAATCTTTTTTTACAGCATATGCTGCAGAACTAAGTCTGCTAGCTAGTTTTGATATATGGGGGAGCCATTGAAGCTTTGCGTCCAGTGTGATTCCAAGAAAAATGGTGGTATCAACAAGACTCAGTTCCTCCCCATTTAAAATTACATTAGTATTGACATGTTTAACATTAGGAGTTACGAATTTCATACATTTACTTTTAGTTCCATTCAAATGCAAATTATTAACATTAAACCAATTGACTAACTTAGCTATAGCATTATTTACTTCGTCGTAATTTAATAACTGTCGTTTTAATTTGAAAATTAATGAAGTATCATCAGCAAATAATACTATATCATGGTTATCCCCTACTATGTAAGGTAAGTCATTAATATATACAAGAAACAGAAAGGGGCCGAGAATTGAGCCCTGAGGCACGCCCATTTGTACAATCGACCCAGAAGAACTCATACTATTAATAACAACTTTTTGTGTTCTGTCACTTAAATATGAAATAAATCAAGAGCATCGTTTCTTACACCGTAGTGTTGAAGTTTCCTGATTAATGTTTCATGGTGAACACAATCGAAGGCTTTGGATAGGTCACAGAACACACCCAAAGATTTGATACTAGTATTAAAAATAATACATAGTTGAGGTGCGATTGTATCTATTATAGACGCAATAACTTTAACAGAAATCCCCCACAGATCGGCGGCTCTCTTAATATCAATAGTCTTAAAATATTTTACAATATCTTTTGATGAAACTTTATGAAATATAAAATTCTTTGTACACACATTTACATTTTGTTTAAGTAATGATTCGGCGACGGTAGGAGAAGAATTCAGTGACTTAGTGGTTAAGATCAGAATATCAGTAAAATATTTCTCAAAAACCATTGCAACGTCCTGATCTGATTTAGTTAATTTATTGTTAAAACTTAACTGGTAGTTTGAATTGCGAGAGTTGACCTTACCAGTTTCACTATTAATTATACTCCATGTCATTTTAATTTTATTATAAGCAGTCTTTATTTTGCTGCTTTAATACAATGACTTGGCTAAGGAGCACACTCTTTTAAATATTTTGGAATATTTTTTTACATATTCCCTAAATTCGACGCTAGGATTATATGACCTTTCATTGTAAAGTTCATATAACCTTTGTCTACTCTTATGGACATCTACTGTCGCCCATTTATTAAATGCTTTACGATTATTCAAGGAGAATGTTTTAGAAGTAAAAGTATTATTAAATTCATTGCAAATGAGCTTAAATAATGTTGCATACAAAAAATTTGGATTATTTTGGTATGAAAGTAATGGAAGTTTTTTTTACTATGTTAGTTCTAAACTTTAGTAGTCAGGGGTTTTCATGCTGGTCTACCTTTCCGGTGATCCTGTTATGGAATACGGGTACGCGACCCCGGCTCCCCGAGCTACTGTTATTCTCATACCTTTCCTGCCGAGATAACAATATCCTTACACCTGCGCTCCTACCCCCAACCTTCTTTTTCCTTTTCCCAAAATGGTAGCTTCCTCTACCAACAATAGCATACCCAAAGAGGGTTGGTGTCAGGCAGGCGGCCGACTGTAAAACTTTTGCCAAATCCCATGCAGTAAACCTATGAATATTACGAGTTGTGGGATATATGACAGGGCTAGGGCGTACCCCGCAGGCGACGCGCAGGGGCAGCACCTGGCTCCTGTGGGAAGTGGGCAAGGGTTGTCGGACCTTACGGAGCGGGTGCGACGTAAGAGGCGAGCCCGGAGAGCGAAGAATGTCAGAGTGAGGTTTGCAAGCTGGAATGTAGGTACGATGACTGGAAGAGGAAGAGAGTTTGCAGATGTTTTGAAACGACGAAGAGTGAATGTTGCCTGTTTGCAGGAAACAAAATGGAAGGGCAATAAAGCAAGAGAGATTGGGGAAGGATACAAGTTTTATTATTGTGGAAGTGATGGGAAGCGAAATGGAGTAGGAGTTGTGTTAGATAGTGGAATGAAAGAACGAGTGACAGATGTGAAAAGAGTAAATGACAGAATGATAGTTGTTAAATTAATGATTGAAAACAAAGTAGTGAATGTTGTAAGTGTGTATGCTCCGCAAACAGGCTGTGAAGAGAGTGTGAAAGAGAAGTTTTGGGAGGAATTTGATTGTATGATGATGGGAATACCTGAGAGTGAGGATGTTTATATGGGAGGAGATTTTAATGGACATGTAGGGAGAGTGAATGACGGGTATGAAAGAGTACACGGTGGATGGGGGTACGGAGTGCGGAACCGTGAGGGGGAAGTTCTTCTGCAAGCAGCATGTGCTTTCGACCTGGCTGTAGTAAACACGTGGTTCCAAAAACGAGATCAGCATCTTGTTACTTATAAAAGTGGCCACCACGCGACACAGATCGACTATCTTCTGATAAGACGGAACCAAATCAAGAGTGTAAAAAACTGCAAAGTGCTTCCAGGTGAAGACTTAGTATCCCAGCACCGAATTCTGCTGGCTGACATCTGCTTAACTGTTCGCCTCAACAAACATAAGGATCGTCCCCCACCCAAAATAAAGTGGCATTTGTTGCATAAGGAGGAGTATGCAAGTGAATTTAGAGAGCTAGTTGTAAACAAGATGATAGAGATGGGTGATATGGAAGGAATGAGTGTGAATGAGTGCTGGAAGGAAATGGCTGATTGTATCCGAAGTGTGGCAAGGAAGGTGTTAGGAGAAACAAAAGGGAAGCGTATGATAGATAAGGATGGGTGGTGGTGGAGTGAAAGTATTAGAGAAGTTTTGAGAGAAAAGAAAAATGCCTTATAAGAATGGCAGAGCGTAGAAGACCAGAATGATTCCATAAAAGAAAGTAAGAGAGGGGCGTATAAAGAATGTAAGAAGAGAGCAAAGAAGGAAGTTGCTATTTGTAGGGCAGAGGCGCAAGATAAATTATATCGATCCCTTGAAAGCCCCGAAAGTCAAAAACGACTTTTTCAAATTGCAAAAGCGAGAGAAAGGAATGGAAGAGATGTTTCACATGTAAAATGTATAAAAGATGATTCTGGAAGGATTTTGACTGACGATGAAAGTATAAAGAAGCGATGGAAGGAGTATTTTGAGAAATTGATGAATGAGGAGAATGAATGGAATGGTATGCTTGAAAACCCACCAGTGAATATGGGCTTAGTGAGAGAAATTAGTGTGGAAGAAGGAAAAATGGCTGTTAGGAATATGAAGAATGGGAAGGCGGTCGGCCCAGATGGAATACCAGTAGAAGTGTGGAAGTTGCTGAGTGCGGATGGATGGAAGTGGTTGAGTTTATTTTTCGGTAAATTGTTGCAGGAAGAACAAATACCTGAGGAATGGTGCAGTAGTATACTGGTCCCCATTTTTAAAAACAAAGGAGACGTTCAAAACTGCAGCAGTTACCGGGGAATAAAACTCATGTCACATACGATGAAAGTCTGGGAAAGAATAATAGAGAAAAGAATGAGAGAAGAGTGTGAGATAACACAAAACCAGTTCGGATTCATGCCCGGTCGAGGTACGACAGATGCCATTTTCGCATTACGCCAATTGTGCGAAAAGTACAAGCGCGTGCATAAAAATCTGCACATGGTTTTTGTCGACCTTGAAAAGGCGTACGATCGGATTCCCCGTGAGGTTTTGTGGTGGGCGTTAAAGATGAAAGGTATGCCTGGGAAGTATGTGAGGTTAGTCCGTGCTATGTACAGAGCATCCCGTACATGTGTACGATCTGCCGCGGGAACTACGGGCAGTATCGATGTGGCGGTAGGGCTGCACCAAGGGTCGGCATTGAGCCCTTACCTCTTCCTACTGATTATGGACGCTTTGACGTCGGACCTGCAGGATGAGGCACCCTGGTGCATGCTCTTTGCCGATGACATCGTGCTTGTCGAGGAAGAAGGCATCGAGGTACAGAGCAGACTGACGGGGTGGCAACAGAGGCTGGAGAGTGTTGGCTTGAAGATCAGCAGATCCAAAACCGAATATCTGTGCTGTGATTTCGGCGGTCTTTCCAGTCCTGTACCCACGTCGTTGGATGGCGCTATACTGCCTACTCAGATTTCAAGTACCTCGGTTCCCTCATTCAAGGCGACGGCGGAATAGATAGAGCTGTGCAGCATAGGATTAACGCAGGGTGGATGAAATGGCGACAGGTCACAGCCACAACGTGCGATCCCCGAATGCCAATAAGGCTGAAGGGGAAAATTTACAAATCGATCATCCGACCTGTCGTCATGTATGGAAGTGAATGCTGGGCCGTCAAGAAGAAGGATGAAAATAGACTGCATGCGAATGAAATGAGAATGTTACGATGGATGTGTGGTGTGACAAGGATGGATAAGATAAGGAATGAGTATATAAGAGGAAGCCTGAAAGTAGCGCCAGTGGTAGAAAAGGTGAGAGGAAGCAGATTGGCATGGTTTGGGCATGTGATGCGGAGGGATGAAAGTCATGTCACAAAACGAGTGTTGAATATGAATGTGGAGGGACACACGGGCAGAGGAAGGCCGAATAAAAGATGGATCGATTGTGTGAAGAGTGACATGAGAATGAAAGGAGTAAGTATGGAAATGACGGCTGATAGAGAGGAATGGAACAAGAAGATTTACTGCGCCGACCCCAGATAATGGGAAATGGTTTAGAGAATGATGATGATTTCTTAACTTCTCCAAGCGATGTGCATTTACTGGAACAAACACTACTTTTTTATCTACTTGCTTTTTGTGAACATAAGGTAGCGGTAACGGTAGCGAGATACTGCGGCCTGATTGACTTCCGGATGTAAAACACGGTAGCGAGATACAGCAGCCTGATTGACTTCCGGCTGTGAAGCACTGTAGCTTGCTACAGCTGCCCGATTTACTTCAGGGTGTGAAGCACTGTACTGTGCTACAGATGCCCGGTTGGCGCCTGGAAGTAAAGAATTATAAAGTTCTACGATTTCTCGACGTTTTTCAGGGTTTTTTGTCGGTAATGAGACGCAGCTTCTCGAAGTTGTTCAGATCGTAACAGTGCGGATACCTTAGGTCTTCCTTTTTTAGTTTTAGTTGGTCTACCGCCTTTTTCCTTATGCTTCATGTTCAATTCACTTTGCGTAGAGTTTAAGACATATAATGTACATATAGCAGTATGTGATGTTACAGAATTTAATGTTATGGGATCAAAGGGGGGAAGAAGATGGAGAGGCATCTCGTATAGGAATGAGTACATCGTAGTGGCCGCTTAAGTAACTACCGGTAAAACGTAAACACTTTTTTTGGCCAGCATCGCCAAAGGAACCTCTTAGTATACCGTTCTCATACACTTCAAAAATGAAAGGATAGATTTTTAAAGCAGCCATAAGCTCAGAAGCTGAGCCGTAAGTAGTGGGTTTCATCATATCGCACCTGTAGGATTGCGCGCTCATATGTGTATACGTCACCATCAGCATCACACGTGTACACTTGCATTTCGTCCCAATGTTCAGCAACGTATGCAACTATAGCAGACCTGATACTGCAAGTTGAGTCAGTTCTACCATACACCAAGAAAGATATTGAATGGAAGAGACAAGACCCGTTTTTGGGCATACCAACTACTTGGTAGCCACTAAGTTCATCGTCGTCTCTTAATATTATCGACATTTTTTTACGATATTATGTTGCGAAATCAAAACACAAACTCAACGACCTTTAGTATATGGACAACAAATTAGAAATAATATTTAGACTAAAACAATAATAACGTATATCTTTAAGACTTCTTTTGTCTTAATAAAAAAAAACTCAAAGAAAATATTACTCAGTCTCAGTCTCTTAATTATTAGACAAGTGTCAATATAATTAATTATCAATGAACTTTCTACCGAAGGTATTACCTCTACCTAGTACTAAAATACAGCTAAATTAGTTATATTTTTAAACGAAACGAAGTAATATATAACTAAATAAACTATACCTAGAATACTAGAAAAGTACTTACTATAAGGTTATCGCAAAAACAAAACGTAAGCGCGTTTTAAAATACGACGTGTGCGGGTATCACCGCCACTCTTAGTCCAATGCATTATATTTTGACCAAATTTTGAGCGAAATGAATATTTTAGTGTAATTTTTTTATTTAACCTTTCTCTTACTGCGCCCGCCGTAACAAAAAACAGCTTTGTACAGAGGCCTCTGTCGTCGCGCCCGCCATAACAATAAACAGCTTTGTCACCTCAGCTGGCGGCACTTGTTATAAACATTTATGTTTCTCACTTATGTTTAAAGAGGTTTTTGTTACAGTTATTTAAAGCCGATAAGATTTTCGATAAGTAGAAACAATAACCATAACATTTAAATGTTTATTTTATTTTGTACAGCTCTTTGTTTCTAACGGATCTTGATAAAGTGTACTTACTGACAACAAATTTTATTTTATGAATGAAATATCATAAGTTTTTATTTTATTTTTACGTCCTTACAATCAATACAACATATTCTTCCTAAATGAACTGAAATTATGCATGTAATAATTATAATAATTCTACTACAAAATTCGACAATAGACAGTTTGCGCTCGCTTTGTAACCTCATTTTCAAAACCTTTTTGTGTATATATTATAGCGTCTTCCTTTATTTTTCTTATACAATCATATAGATATAACATTTAACAATTCCTAGTAAAAGTATTTACTATGGTATTCGAATAAGAAATATACTATTATTATCTTATTAGAAATCTTGACCGTTATGAATTGTTCGCGTAGAGGTTTTTTGATTCTACTTTTTTATCAATTGAAATATAAAAAGTTACTGTTGTTGTAACTTAGATCATTCAAAACATTACGTAGTAAAGATAAATAACATTACTTACAGTTTTTTGAAAGAAAATCCAACTAAAATCACAATCACAAAACTTCAACGATTACGCAACAAACAGCACAAAAGCGAATGGCTGTTATATTTGATTTTGTCTATGTAACCGAGTGAATATAATTCTTCAGAATACTCTTTAGTTCGTTCAGAATCGAATGAAATAGTGTTCAATTGAAAATATACTGTATTTTTAGATCAATTAATGACGAAAATAGCAGCACGTAATGCGGACATGAATTCATGTCCGCGGTACTCAACGGTCACAAAACGTGGACATGAATTCATGTCCACGGTACCTTAAAGGAATTTGAGTAATGTTCGAGTAGAATAAAGTTAATAGTTCGACTATTTTTTATTGTAAACTTGTAAGTATAAGTATAAAAGCCAATCTAGTGTTATCCAGAGTTTTCCTTTAATTTTATTTATATGCGTATTAAAAGCAGAAGGGGAGGCATTCGCCCAGCAGTGGGACGCTATAGGCTAGATTAAATTAGATGTGTCCCACTACGCTGGATTTTTGCAATGACAGTAGATTTTTATGTACCAATGGTAGAAGAGGGCATTACCATATCTCTAATACAGCTGAGACTAGCGGAGGGATCTTCATCAGATACTTTAGACCTTCGATTTTTGACATCAAATGAAGCGGCCCACAAAGTTGAATATTTTTTGTAAAGGCGGTATGTCGATCTCTTTTAATAGTTTGGTTGGGCTCTTGTGTTTTCTAATCAGGGTCACCAGGTACTCCAGACGTTCGATTATCCTAGTTTTTATAGTTTTCCCTTTATGTGGCCATTAAACCCTAACTCTGTACCAAATTTCAGCTCTCTGAGTTTATGGGAAGTACTAGTTCTATTCTGATGATCATGAGTGAGTGAGTGAGTGTCATAAATGCGAAAATTTGCTTTCGCTTAACTTCGGAACTAAATGACCTACAGACTTGCAATTTTGGATTTTAGGTATATGATTATAGTTTACTGGATGGCGAAAATTTCTGCGTTCCGGTATTATCCAGAGGTTCTCAAATAGGGGCCTGAAAATGCGGCGAAATGGTTTCAGTAAAGGATAGTACGGCAGTGTTTGCTTCGCGCTCGACTTGGCGGTGGCACTGCCGTGCCCCCCCCGATTACAAAACTATTCTCAAATTCGGTAGGCAATAAATTACACTATATCATCATCGTCATCATTACAGCCCTTTACAAGTCCACAGCTGAACATAGGCCTCCCCCAAGTAATGCCACAAAGCACCGTCCTGAGCCACCTTCATCCACCGACTTCCTGCATGTCTTACCAGGTCGTCACTCCATCTAGTTAGGGGTCGCCCTACACTACGCCTACCGGTACGAGGCTGCCACTCGAGAACCTTTCTTCCCCATCGGTTATCGGTTCTTCGAGCTATATGGCCGGCCCATTGCTACTTCAGCTTACTAATCCGTTGGGCTATGTCGGTCACTCTGGTTTTACTGCGGATATCCTCATTTCTGATCTATCACGCAGAGAAACTCCGAGCATAGCCCTCTCCATAGCTCGCTGAGCGACCTTGAGTGTCCTCATACGGCCAGCAGTGAAGGACCACGTCTCAGATCCGTAAGTCATCACTGGCAACACGCACTGGTTGTACACTTTAGTTTTCAGAGATTGAGGTATACCTGACGAGAAGATGTGTCGTAATTTCCCGAACGCTGCCCAGCCGAGTTGAATCCGTCGATTGACCTCTCGGTCGAAGTTGGACTTACCTAGTCGGACTATTTGTCCCAGGTAAACGTACTCGTCAACAACTTCGAGCATAGTGCTCCCAACAACTACCGGCATAGGTGAGACATGGACATTAAACATGATCTTTGTTTTGTCCATGTTCATCTTAAGACCTATCCGTTGGGAGACACCATTGAGGTCATTGAGCATAGTGCTAAGGTCCTCCAGCGATTCTGCCATAAGGACTATAACGTCGGCAAATCGAAGGTGAGTGATGTACTCGCCATTGATGTTAATACTGTATCCTTTCCAGTCCAGTAGCTTGAAAACGTCTTCCAACGCAGCGGTGAAGAGTTTCGGGGATATAACGTCACCCTGTCTTACACCTCTCTGCAGTTGGATAGGTTTCGAACTCTGGTTCTGTACTCGGATAGCCATCGTAGCCCTTCTGTACAAACACTTCAGCACTTCGATATACCGACAGTCAACTTCGCACCGCTGAAATGACTGTAGCACCGCCCAAATTTCGACGGAATCAAAGGCTTTCTCATAGTCCACATACGCCAGGCAAAGTGGCAGATTGTACTCTTCGGTCTTCTGTACAATCTGCCGCAGGGTATGTATGTGGTCTATGGTACTGAAGCCTTTTCGGAAACCGGCTTGTTCTGACTCCCGAAAACAGCACGTAGACGCGGCTCAGAAGGGAAATCGGTCTGTAGTTCTTCAAGAGAGCGTTGTCGCCTTTCTTAAAGAACAAGACCACCGCACTTCTGCTCCACGCCTCCGGAGTAGTGCCACCATGGAGGACGGAATTGAAGAGCTTCTGAAGGACTTCAAGTACCGGTGTTCCACCCGCTTTCAGAAGCTCCGCTGTAATTCCATCCTCGCCTGGGGCCCTGCCGGTTTTAAGGTGCTGGAGAGCCAATCTCGCTCAGACTGACGTCCGGGATATCATCGGAATAGTGTCGGATAAGACTTGCTCTTGGATCGTTACTCATACTTGCGTGTGGCTCCAACGATGATGTGTACAGCTGCCCATAGAACCTCTCAATCTCACTCAAAATCTCAGGTGTCCCGGAAACGATGCTGCCACACTCAGTCTTCAGCTTTGACAGTTGGCTCTTTCTGGCAGACAGATCTCTGGCAAAGACTTTGGAGCCCTGGTTCCGCTCGATCGCTTCTTTAATACGAGCAGTATTAAAGTTGCGTAAGTCTCGCCGCATGCATTTAGAGATCTGTCTGTTCAGTTGCCTGTATGCTGTCAAATCTGTTGCGATTGCAGCCTCATCTCCCGTCTAATAGCCATGAGATTAAGAGTGTGATCGGAGAGTTTTGTGTTCTTCTGCGGCGGGTCTTGCAGAACTTAGCTCCGACCGCATGGACAGTTTCCACGAGCTTGTCATTCATATCGTCCACTGCATTGCAATCTTCTAGGCACTGGAAGCGGTTACGTAACTTGAGCTGAAAAGTCTCGGGTTTCTGGATTAGAGCACGAGGGGGAACGGAGCGTTGACTTCATTAGACGAGACCTCTCCAACTTAACGTTTAGGTTCAGTGTGCCTCTAACCATTCGGTGATCGCTGCCGGTTTTCACCCTTGCGATCACTGAGACATCACTGAACGGCGTCTGGTCGTCATAATGAAGTTAATCTCATTTTTTGTCGAACCGTCAGGGCTCGACCAAGTCCACTTCCTGTGGGGCCGCTTTTATTACACTATATAACAAGAAAATTTAAACAGAAAAGACCAATTTTCAGTCAAGTTATAGATGAATTAGGGTTTTTATTTCTGTATTTAGGGCTCGGTTTAGGCAAGAAGCGATTTTTCGAGTTCCGTGTGTTTTATCTATAATTTTGAGTGTAGATGCGAGTTTCTACACGATATAGACCTTATAAGCCTAAAAGGAGCGGAGAAATCGAAGATTTTAAAAAGTTTAAAAAATCTATGAAAATACGATTATAAGAAAACGAATTATGTGAAAATTAGTTATTTAACGGTAAAAATTTATTACAAAACTATTGTTAAAGACGTGGGGCAATTAATTACACCATAAAACAAGAAAATTTAAACAGAAAAGACCAATTTTCAGTTAAGTTATGTTTGATTTTTTTTCCTGAATTTAAGGCTCGGTTTAGGTAAGTAGCGATTTCTCACGTTACGTGTGTTCTACCTATCAAATTTGAGTGTACATGGCAGTTTCTACATAGGACGGACCTTATTAGAAAAAAGAGAAAAAAAAGTTTAAAAAATCTAAGAAAATACAATCATAAGAAAACGAATTATATGAAAATTAGTTATTTAACGGTAAAAATTAACTTCGAAAACTATTACATCATACGAGGGGCAATTAATTACATTATATAACAAGAAAATTTAAACAGAAAAGACCAATTTTCAGTCAAGTTATGGATGAATATTGGTTTTTATTTCTGTATTTACGGCTCGGATTAGGCAAGTAGCGATTATTCGAGTTCCGTATGTTTTATCTATCAAATTTGAGTGTACATGGCAGTTTCTTCACGATACGAACCGTATAAGCCTAAAGGGAGCGGAGCAATCGAAGATTTTAAAAAGTTTAAAAAATTCTATGAAAATACGATTATAATAAAATTAATTATATGAAAGTTAGTTATTTATGGTGAAAATTTACTACGCAAACTATTGTAAAATACGGAGGGCAATTAATTACACTATATGAATTTGTGGCCGTGGAAGGAAAGGGGAGATCTCCCGCCGGGCAAGGTGTTCTGCCCGGGGAGCGGCTCACACTCCGTGTGATAGTTCGGAGATGTTCTATATATGCTGTTTATGATTCGGTATTTGATAACGTGATTTAAGCTTTGGTGTGTTTCGCTTGCGGCGCGACGACAGCGGCGCCACATCACCCCCCTGCTCAGACCGAAGGTCGATAGTGCAGTCCGATTGTCGGTGTGTCCTTTGATAATATATATATATATATATATATATATATATATATATATATATATATATATATATATATATAATCATCCTTTCACGGTAAATGTTGATCCAGTGAGAAGTTAGAACAATTGTTGATCCACCTATTTGACGTGTTTGCTCAGCTCCTCGTCGCACAAACTGATATACTTTGATCCATTCTTGATACCCGTGTGACGTCGGTGGATCTGCACTAACAGGATTTCAATATACTCGTCAGCGATTTGACCAACATTTGTTGATCAATCAACGGTCGAAAAAAATCATACTGAATATGATTTTTTAGATCCAGAGTATATTTAATTTATATGCGACATTTACTTAGACTAAGTGGATCCGGAGCCATAATTGACGAATAGGTACTCGAACACGAAGCGGCAACGTCGCGTTCTGTGTGTGACAGAAAACCCAGTAGGCTACTTCGTTATAGTAATAAGGTAAGAAAATGCGTTATCTGCTGAGTTTGTAGATCAAAATTTGCCAGGTTTTATTGTGGAAAAACGTTTGTTCGAGTTTTTGTTATCGTGTGAGTGAATTTGTGTTATTTTATTCATTTGTCATAGATCACTTAGAAGAATTAATTTGTAATAAAGTACTATCCATCATGGATAGTACTTTATTACAAATTAATTTGTCACTTGAGTGTGTGTGTGTGTGTGTGTGTGTGTGTGTGTGTGTGTGTGTGTGTGTGTGTGTGTGTGTGTGTGTGTGTGTGTGTGTGCGGTGTGTGTGTGTGTGTGTGTGTGTGTGTGTGTGTGTGTGTGTCTGTATTTATGTGAGAGCGCGAGAGCGCGCGTGTGTGTATGCGCGTGCGTGTGTGTGCGTGCAGGTGTGTGTGCGTGCGTGTGTGTTCGTCTGAGTGCGTGTTCGTCTGAGTGCGTGTTTGTGTGTGTGTGTGTGTGTGTGTGTGTGTTTTTTTTTTTTTTTTTTTTTATGATTTCCGCCGGAGGGTACACCCCCACCGACGGGAGTATATTGTCAGATTCCACAGATAAGTTTCGCTTTGTTTTAAAATTTTTTTTTTAATATAACTATTACACGTACGGAGCTGGTTGCGCGTTTCTGCGATTTGATACATAACGCGCTTTCCTTCTCCTCATATTACTACAATTCTCAACAATTTTTTTTAACATATTATACATAGGTGTTGTTCGGAGAAAATAATCGTTTGATTGACATTGACGTTTTGTTATTTATAGACTCGCGCATGCCGCGCACCCCGTTAGACTAAAAACGGGATGACAATAAAATGAAAATAATGAAATGAAATTTAAAATAAAAACTAAAAACAAAAAAAATTGTCTTAACTTTAAACTAGAGCTGTTATATAATGTCTCTAGTGTAATGAATTGGTACAATGATGACAAACTGGTTAAATAATCCTATAATATAAAACAAAAGTGGAATAGTGTAGTCTTATCACTAAATACGGACAGAGTACAGAGTAGCATAAAGAGAGTGAACTTAAAGGAAATAAATACACAGAATAATGTTAAATCTAAACACAAAAATGACGGAATAATTTAGTGACAATGAAATTGACAAAGTAACATATAAAGTATTCTTATGTCTAAACATATACAAATTGTTATTAAGACCGTTAAATTCGAATAAAATAAAATTTAAATGGAATAAACACACAGGATAATCTTAATACTAAACACAATAATAACATTTATATAACAAAATAACATAATAACAATAAAATGAGTGTAAAATAAATCAAGTGTAATCTTAATTCTAGGCACAAAATAACATGGTATAATGACACAGTCAAGTAGAAAATTTAAAGAAGACTATGAGAAGTCTTTGTTCCATGAGCAACAAAATAAAACAAAATGGTATTCTTAAATTACTATGGACAAAATGATATAAAATAAAACTAGAGGTAATCTTATTCCCAAACATGGCCAAATGCTTTGTTAACGATGGGGTAAAATATTAAGAGTATGAGGGGTAATCTTAGTCCAAAAAAAAAATTAAATGACATATGTAATACAATAACTATGAATAATTTTTATTTAAAGATTAGTTTAAAGAAAAGGTACTTAATAACTAGTTGTTTCTATTTACATATGTACAGCTTTTATTAAAGTTTTTGAGGTTTTTAATGATGCTATTAACAAATTGCATGAAGGAATCCAGAAGGGATTCCTTCTTCATTAAGTTAATCAGGTTAAACGGAGAGGTTCTTAAGTTTTCACACCTCATCACATGACTAAGTCTTTGTACTGAAAATGCAGGGCAATGCTCTATAAGATGCTCCAGCGTCTGTGGGGTGTAATTGTTGCATGGGCAATAATTATTATCGGTTATTTTAAAACGGCATAAATAATATTTGTGGAAACCGTGGTCGGTGAGCACCTGGGTGAGGTAAAAACTTGGTTTGGTGAGGGTGCGTAGCCTCTCGATATCCTCCAGTGTCGGAAGCAGTCGTTTGGTATGTTGGCCCTGTTCTGCGCTATAATACCTAGCTTGCCAGGTTGCACGGTTTTGAGTTCTGATGATTTGTTTAAGGTACGAAATGGGATAGGCCGAGTAATCAGGCCGTCTGTGTAACTTTGAGCCGGCATTCGCAGCAATGTCTGCTGCCTCATTACCAGCTATGCCTGAGTGACCCTTGACCCATCCCAACTCTATGATGCCTATTTTACTGTGTTCATGAATAATTTGGTGTATTTGTGTGATAATGGGGTGTGTGTTGCTTCTGTTCTGTATGGCATGTATGGATGAGAGTGAGTCAGTGTAAATGATTGTGTGCGCATATTTGTGTTCTCTGATCCACCTGCATGCCTGTAAAATGGCAAACAGCTCGGCTTGGAACACTGTGCATGTGTAATGCAGTTTAAATTTTTTGGTGTAGGCTATTTCATCAAGATTTGTTGGAAGATATCCAACAAATGCGGCCCCCACTGCACCATCCTCCTGTTTACTTCCATCCGTAAATATACAGTGTGTGGTCTGTCCATGTAGAGGTTGAATTGATAGGTAATTTGTATAGGTTCTGTTCGTTAGGGAGATACGTTGGGCGGGATGAAGTAGCTCGGAGACGGGGGTGGGTTTTTCTAACGGAATATCGCTGGGGATGTGGTCAGAGATACCCCGGAGCCGAGCCCTTTCCACAGCGCAGACTTCTCGGACTTTCAGGTCCAGAGGTACGAATTGGGCTAACGCTAGTGCAGCGGCTGTGGAGACCGTACGGAATCCCCTAATAGCCTTGATGGCAAACCCGCGCTGCATGCTCTCGAGTGCCCTCCTGATGCACCTTTTCTGGGCGACGTGACCCCAAATTCCCGCAGCGTAGGTGATCGTTGGCACGATGACCTGCTGGTAGATGGTGCTGATGTTTTCAGGATGGGCTCCCCAAGTGGGTCTCGAGTACATGCAGAGCGTGTTGAAGATCCGCACGGCCCTGTTAACTACGTGTTTCACATGTTTACCGAAATTCAATTTCTCATCGAGGATTACTCCTAAAAGTTTCACCTCTGGAACAAAACAAAGTCGGTGTCCGTCGATGTTAATGCTGGCTGTCTTAGCCTTAGGAGTGAAGGCAATGAGCTTAGTCTTGGTAGGGCCGAATGCCAACTTGACGCTTCTTCCCCACTCGACTATGTGATGGAGAGCCAAGTTGGCAGCGCTTTCCAGTTTGCCCGCACTCGCGGCCGTAACAACCAGCAGGACGTCGTCCGCAAAGGCCTGTATGTGGCAACCCGCTGGAAGCTTGGTGTCGAGTAATTCGTCTAATATTATGTTCCAGAGAACAGGGCCGCACGTGGAGCCTTGGATGCAGCCCTTAGACATCGTCTTGGTGACCCGCCCCCCTGCAAAGTCGAGAATGACCTCCCGATCGCGGACATAATCCTGAATGAGTCCAAAGATGTTATTAGGACATTGGATATGCCGCAATCGGTGGAAAAGTGCCGGCCACCAAGCGTTGTCAAAGGCTGCTTTTATATCTAGAGATATAGCGATACTTAGTTGCTTATTACTTTTCGCTTGTCTTATTATATCGAGCGCAGTGTTTATAGCTTCGCACGTGTTGGTCTGTTCCCGGAAACCGAACTGAAATTTGTTTAACAGATTATTTCGTTGTGCATGGTATGTGACTCTTCTAATGAACAGTTTTTCCAGCAGCTTGCCGAACACAGGTATCAGGCCAATAGGACGAAATGACTCTAATGCGCTGTAGTCAGACTTACCCGGCTTCGGGATAATTTTGACAAAAGCGGTTTTCCACTGGTTAGGGAAGTGTTGGAGTGCAAGACAGCGGTTAAGAATGTCAGTCAAGAGTCTAGGATAGTCTGTCGCAAACTGTAAACATATGTCTGATGTTAAGTTGTCGAGTCCGGGAGCCTTTTTGGGATTCATTTGTCTTAAACACTCCAACACCTCCTCCTGAGTGAAGGGAGGGTCGTAATGGGACTGAGGAGAGTTGGTCATGTCAGATCTTAATTCGTGATGTCGTGGTAAGGTGTCGGGTGAGTCACCCGGGTAAAAATGGTCCAAAAGTGCCTTAGCAGTCTCCTGGCTATCGGTGGTGTAAGTACCGTCTCTGTTGAGGGTAACTGGTGGGCGCCTAGGGGTGGCAGTTTTGAGTAGCCTATTTGTGAGTGACCAGACATTTTCCTTAGTTTGCAACTCGCAGAACTCACGAAAATGCCTGGTCGACTCATCACGCATTTTGCTAGCGTAAAGTTCCTTTATAGATTTGCGTGCCTCCAAAATCTGGTCCAAAGGCAAACCTTGGCGTTTAGCAGCATGAAGCTGGTGGTGCAAATCCACCACTTCCCGCTTGATGGTCTCCAATTCCTCCGTCCACCAAGGAGCCTTCGGCTTTGTTCCCCGGCCTTTAACATGCATGCTTGCCCGGCATGCAGAGTGGATCACATTAGTGAGCTCGGAGATGACCTGATCCAGATCATCAACGTTCAAGATAGAAATGTCCTGTTCAAGTATGTTTGTGAGTGTCATGTGAGTGTGCAGTTTGTCCTTAAAAATAGGCCAACAGGCTTTGTTTGATTTGTATAAAAAAGTGGAGTTCTGGTGAGTGTGTGTTGTGTCGGTTGTGTTGAAATCAATGCAGTAGTCTATAGCATTATGCTGGGAAGTTGGGCAGATATTCAAATTAACACGCCATTCCGAGATGTAATCAATGATGGAGCCAGAGACAAATGTGAGATCGATTATTGAAGAGCGATCTCGCCCGTGGGTGACCGTTTCAAACGTGGGTACGTTGCCAACGTTACATACCCCCGCCCCCCCCACCCCCCCCCACCCCCCCCCCCACACAAAAACAAAAAACCCCACACAACACCCAAAAAAAAAAAAAACTAATACATATCATTGCTTTGTATAATATCTATGACTTCGTTACCCCGTAAGTTAGTTTTCCCGCTTCCCCAAGTTGGGTGCCACCCATTGAGATCACCCCCCCACTATCTTGTGAACATCACCTGTGTCTTTAAGAAAGACATCTAATTTATCGAGCGTTGCTAGCTCGTCCCTGCCTGGTTCCACATATATAGATGCAATATAAACATTGCGATTTCCAGTAGTAAGTTTGATAACGCAGAAGTTGGATGTTGAAAACTGAGATAATCCCAAGATGGACCCGCATCCTGGTTTTGCCAGGATGCAAGCCTTAATCCTGCTGCCCGTGAAGAACTGGTATGTGTCAATTCCAATCACTGATTTAACCTGATCTCCAGAGCCAACGTATGGCTCGGAGATGAGGGCGATGTCATAATCACCTGCCATGAACGAGAGAAGAATCTCGTGTTGCGCATTCTTGGATCGGTCGATGTTACACTGTAAAATTTTTAATTTACGGTGTATATCCATAATCGACACGGTTATTAATCTTCTCCCTCATGGCTCGCAATCGTGGGCAGGTGTTTGAGTTGGCCGTGTGTTTGGTATCCATTTTTGTATTGAAGCGCGTGTTATGAGTGTGGCAGTTGTAGCATTTGACGCTGTTGGGCTTATCTTTATTGGGACATTTGCCCACATCATGCTCCGTGCTCGCACAATGTGAGCAGAGATTTTGGTCCGCAGTGCACCTTAATTTAGTATGACCGAACTGCAGGCACTTGTGGCACTGTAGGAACGGCGAGAAGCTAGCTACGTGGACTCGCTGATATTCGACACTGATTCGACCCATGTCGAGCATTTTATTGTATAGTTTGGGTTCGACTGACAATACCGCGTTGTACAAATTGGCGTTTCTGTTTTCACGTTTGAACCTCAACTTGAGGTTCTCACCACCACCATTGTTAATCAGTTCGGTTAATACTGTATTTTGGCGAATGATGGACTGAATTAAGTCATCGGCTGGAACATCCTTAGAGATTCCCTTAAGAATGACCATAGGTCTTAATTTTCGCACTGGTTCAGCTTTAAGCTCACTTTTCCCCTGAAGCCGCGTGAGGGTGTCTTTAAGCTGGGTCTCGTTGTCGAATTCAACCCGCAACTTATTGTTGGAAACTGGCTGAATTCTAGCAGGTGCGTAGTTGGAAGCGCGGTAATTAATGTTCTTTTTGAAGAGTTCAACGGCATCCTGGCGAGATTTCACTTCTACCGTAGCACTAACTATAATCGCTGGTTTGGACACTGAGGGGGGGGGATGCGGGGGGCAGTTGGCCCAGTGGGCGCCGAAGCCCCGCGAGCCACTGCAGCTGCCTGTGCATATGTCGGTTTATTGGCCATGACCAGTTTTTTCACGCCTGCGATCTCCTCCCTCACACATGATAGAATTTCCTCCTTCAGCTCGCTGTTGGAGGCTGGTGAGCTATGGATGGACGCGGGGTTGAGGAGACCAAAAATATGCCCAGCTTTGTGAATTTCCTCCGCAGCTAGACTAATTAATCGCTTATTAGCAGCGGTCACGTTCTTGCCTTCATTGACCGCTGTGTTAATGCAGCTGGCGAGCTTATTCAACACATGAAGAAAGGTGTCTAAGTCCTTTGCCTCATCAGCTGAGGCTGGGAGGGGAGGAGTTTCTCCCTGCGACGGCGCCATATTCACACAAAACACATAAGTCTTTATAGAAAGTTGGTAACAAAAAAAATTATAAATTATTTAAAAAAAAATGTCTATAAGTGGTTTATGTTTTGGTTTAAAGAGTACTACTGTAAGGCGGTGCCATTTTAATCTCAAAGTTCACACAAAAAATAAAAGTCAGTTTTCAGCCATATTATGTATATATATATATCAATCAATAACTTAGTCCTAGGGAGTGGGGAGGGGGGGTTTCCAAAGGTCCAACAGGGAATATTATATATACCCGCCAAATACGACGTGAATGTTGAACTATGTTAGACCGTTATTTTGAACAGAAAAATTTTACATTTTGAATTTTGAAAAAAAGTTTGCAACTTTTTAACTACTAGGCGGAATATTCTGAAATTTTCAGGGTTTATAGTTTATAATATGCACTATTTATTGGCGGATTAAAACGGAATTAAAGGTGTATCCCTTCAAGAGATATTAAGCTTAAAAGATTAAAGTACCTTGATGAGATATGATGAAAAGTCTATTTCTGTCAAAACGGTTCAAGTGCGGGAAAATCTGTTTATATTGGCGAGTTTAGCTAATAATTGTCCTTCATAATCTGACTTCAGAACCAGCCACACGCTTCTGGTTTCCAAGATGGCCCACAACGTGGTTTATGGAAAACTGTTGGAAATTCGGTTTTTCCCGCTCGGAAAATGTTTAGATTTGGTATGCACTCGGAGCTCACATATATCCATCTATTTCACCAATAAACACTATACATCCTACATCAAAAATCGGGCGTAGGCCAGAAAATATTAATTTAAGGTCGCTTTTTTCACATTACTTTTTTTTACCAAAATCGCTGCTTTATGCGGTTTTCACCATGTTATAAAACGACAAATTCCGCGTTTTTTGATATATAACATGTCACTATTGTACAACTTTTTACCACATTTACGAATTTTAATCGACGGAGCTAAAGCGTTTCGCTACTAACGCGGCGGCGTTCGGCGCGAAACTGTGTGTGTGTGTTTGTGTGTGCGACCAGAAAACGGAGGCGGAGAATGGAGACGTGGAGGCGGAGGTGAATGCAGCGTAGTATGTGGTGAAGGCGGAGGAGATGAATTTGTGGTGAAGTCGGAGATAGTGGAAACGGAGAATTGTGTTGGAGGCGGAAAGAATAGTGATGGCGCGTGATGGTGGCGGCAGAGGGAGCGGAGTTTATTGTTGAGGCGGATGGAGCAGAGTTTATGGTGGAGGCGGAGGTAGCGGAGGTGGAGAACGAAGGCTTAGAGAGGGATGCGGTGGTAGATGTGGAGGAGTAGGTGGCAGAGGTAGTGGTGGGTGCACTGAAGTGCAGTAAAGTGAGTACCGCGTGAGGGCAAGTGAGGCTCATATAAAAACAGTTGGTTACAGCGAAAAACAGTGTGGCTTGTAAGTGGATATCGATACTGCCCCTAAAGATGTTACTACGAGGTTATTCATTTTTCCGAATATCAGCTTGGATACCTATTGGTACTAGAAAATAAAATAAAAAAAAAAAATTTCATTATATAAAAAAAAAGACAAAGTGAAAAGAACTTTAGTTTTGTGTTGGTTTCATTATAACTAACAAAACAAACCCAAACTCGGCATACCTAGTTCTACTAGTCCAGGTGTTACAGTGTTAGTTACCGAAGTACACCTTCAGGTCACTTCAGCATATCAGGAGGTAAGGACTCATCATAACTAACAAAACGAGCCCAAACTCAGCACACCCAGTTCTACTAGTCCAAGAGTTCCACTAGTAATCCCGAATTACATTTCGACGTCACTCCATGAAGACCGGAGGTAAGGTCTCATGATAATATCTCATGTAATAGTTCGATTCTATACCTATCAATTTTGTAAACGCGTCCTTAAAAATCTTGATTATGAAGATGTAGAAAACATGTTAACTGGTTTATGGTAAACACACATAACACACACACACACACACACACACACACACACACAGTGAGAGAGAGAGAGAGAGAGAGACACACACACACGCACGCAAACATGCACTCAGACGAACACCTTATGTCGCCGTTGCCACCAATTCCGCTACAAGAAGGGGCGTTGTCGAGTAATTCTTAAAAAAAAGTCGTTTATTTCAACCACAAGGATCATAGTTGTTAGTAATAATACAAATCTTAAAACTAATTTTCGTAAAACTTAAAACTATTTACCTAATTTTAAAACTATATATAAGACAGACCCGATTAGTCAGCACGTGCACCATATGATAATGGTTCAGTTACTGGAACCGGCCCGCACCCTGCGCACCAGGGATGTGCATCGTTTACGCATGGTGGTCTAGAAACAATCCACACGCGCATCCGCGAACATACCCGGCGCATTACAATAACAAGGTAGACCAAACAGCACCCTGAATGCATTACATAACACGCATTTAATCTGTAGCTTGTACCGCCAAAGATACGAAACGGCAACGTCGCGGCTGCATTCAGCCAATACGATCGTTTATCTTATCGTTTGCTGAGCTCTGATTGGCTCATTTAAATCGGATCAACATTTTCCGTAACCATCGTAAGGTGGATTTATATATCGGATCAACTTCGGCCATTGCTAGCAAACAGTCTCGTGAGTGCAGATGTTGATCCGGTCGGAGCCACATTAGTTACCAGAGATGCATATTGGATCAACAAAAGGCGCCGGATCAACATGCGTTTTCGGATCAACAAAGTGCTCGCGTGAAGTCGCGTCTGATCAACATTTACCGTAAAGAGATCTCTCTCTCTCTCTCTCTCTCTCTCTCTCTATATATATATATATATATAAATATATATATATATATATATATATATATATATATATATATATAT